AGACAGTTAATAATACGTAATTGAGAAAACATAATCAAGGCAAATCTCAACTATCAGGGAAAGTGAGTTGGGTCAAAAATATCATGCTTAACAATTACCTCTAGGAAAAATGTTCCTGGAGAAGTGAAGTAAGAATAAATTTGGGGAGCAGACAGAGGTGGGGAAGAAGGGGAGAAAAGAGGAAATCCACCATTAGCATCTCCCCTTAATAAGAGGAGAACAGGACCACTGTTACTAAAAGGCATTATTAAAAAGCAAATAAATACTGCTTGACTATATGCTAAAAGCCCCTATTTCAAGTTTTCCCATTTTTCACTTGATCCACTGCCAAGGTAATCCTTTGCACCGCTGACAGCAGCAGATACTTCCTAGATTGTTCATTTGTTGATTTTCTTTTTTTTTTTTAAAGATTTATTTATTTATTCATGCATACAGAGCTGGGGTACAGGCCAGAGGTGCAGGGGTGGTGAGAGGCTTCACCAGAGACACTGTGGGGAGCAGAACAGGCCGACCGACAAAGTACACTGCTGAGGGGAGCACAGGCAGGTCAGGAGAGGTCTGCTGCGCCATGTGGATCACCTCCAGGGCTGGGGATCGAACTAGCACTGAAGCAGCTGCAGCTCACTTGCAGTGCTGTGTCCTTACCAGTTGTGCCACTAGGGAGGGCCCTCATTCATTAATTTTCTCTAAAGAGTGACATTGAGACCATTTTGTCTCAGTATTTGGGTCTGCATGTCTCAGACGGAGACATACCTCAGAGATGCCAGGGGCTTGCTTCCAGATCACCACAGCAAGGAGAACATGGCCAAAAAGGGAGTCACATGAATTTTTTGGTTTTCCAGTTCATACAAAAATTTGTATGTTGATGCTATACTATCTATCAATAATAGCATTACGTCTTTAAAAAATGTGCATGCTTTGGGCCCTCCCTGGTGGCGCAGCAGGTTAAAGAATAGCACTAAGAAACTAAAGCTACTACAGCATGAGTTCGATTCCTGCCTGCCCCGGAGGTAACCACATGGCGAGGCAGACCTCTCCTGACCCACCCGCTGCTCCCCTCAACAGTGTACTTCAATGATCTGCTTGTTCCACTCCCCACTCTGTCTGTGGTGAAGTCTCTCGCCACCCCTGCACCTCTGGCCTGTACCCCAGTTCTGTATGCATAATAAATCTTAAAAAAAATGTGCATGCTTTAATAGCACTGTCTTTAAAGAAAAATCAATGTATATGCTTAAAAATTGGGCATGCTTGAAAAATCAACACACATGCTTAAGAAAACACCATGAATGTTAAAAAAAAAAAATGCTAACCATCAAAGAGCTTTCGGAAAAATGGTGTCGATGGACTTTCTGAACATGTTTGCCACAAACCTTCAATCTGTAAAAATGCATGAGCTCTGCAGAGCACACCCACAGCGATATGTCTGCACTTTGGGATGAGAGCAAAGATAGCCTTGTCTGTCTCAAGTCACAACTGGCCAGAGCCAACTCTTGCTGGAGCACTGATCCAGACATGTATCTTTTCCAACATTCTAGTGGGAAATGAGCCACCTATTCTGTTCATAACTACTTTTTTTCTAAACATCTGCAAGCCCAGAAGATGATGTGGACAGCGGGAATACACAGTAGAGATTTTCATCTGCACAGTGTGGCTTGCTTTAGTCAGTCTCTTGCAATGTTCACTGAGCAGTAACTACGACAGACTATGCAAAAACTACAAGCTGGATCTGTACCTCAAGATGTTGATGTTTATGAAGAGAACCTTGACCGTGAAGAAATCATCCAGCCCTTATTCCTTGGAGTTGGAAGGGAGGGTGGTCCTGGCCCAGGAGGGAGAGCCCAACCATCACTGTTCTTTCCCCTGCATCGAGCCTTGAAGAAGCAAGAACTACCTACACCAGGTATCCAAGGGGCACGGTTCTGTAGCCTCTGCTATTCTGCCGACAGCCAGAGTGGTTACAGACCCCAGGCTACACTTTCTCCTCTCCATTCCATTGTTTCTATTGGATCAGTTCAAGCAAATCTGAGCAAGACCGCCTGCTAGCTCAGACTACCATGGGAAATAAATGGTCCTTAGCAAGCAGGCTGTGAAGTGACTATCCCAGCCTATTGAGGGCTAGGTAAGAAATGTGAGTCACACATCCACATGGCTAGGTGGGCAGGGAGAGAGGTGGAAGATGGCAGAAGATGACACTGGGATGTCTATAAATAAGTTGTATTCACTCATTCCTTGATTCAACCATACACTCAACAAAAATTTATTGGGCATCCCTACACTGCTCAGCACTATCAAATCACAGGGGATATATAAGCAAGATGGACCTTTAATACTTGACATCTTTAATACTTGATATTAAGCACTTTGAGAACAGGAAGGATCATTCAATGTGAACACATCATTCAGTTGTGGAGAATCACAATTATCTTCAAAGAGAAAACACCTAAAACTTGAAGGATGAGAGGAGTTAGGTGAAGGCCTGGTGGGGGCAGAGCTGGGAGAGGCCCACGGACACATGTGCGTGGAGAGGTACGAGTGAGCATGCCCAGCAGGCGCAGTGTGCCATGGTGAAGGACACCTAAATATTAAGTTGAATCATAGCAAATCACCATTTTTCTAAGTCACAAATAATCTAAAGCCAGAAATGTTCCATGGTACAACCTAGTAATTCCCTGAGTAATACTCCTTGGCTGCTTAGCCTTTTCAACTAGTTTCTCTCCAGACAAGAAGACTGTGGCACTGGAAAACATAAGGGATGGATGGAGGAGGGTAGGGACGGCTGGTGAAGGACGCGGGGTTTCACGAGGACATGGCCGGGGTAGGACATATAGGCTTTCTCCTTAGGACAATGGGGATGTGTAATGACCAGATTTGCAAGTTAATGATCACTGGAGAACAGAGTGGGAAGAGCAACAGCAGTGATAAGGAAAACATAAAAAGAGCTGCTAGGCACATAAAGTGAGAGAAGCTGGGTGGCATCAGCTAGTGAAGAAATGTGAGTCACGCATCCACATGGCTGGATGGGCAGGAAGGGAGGTGGAAATGGCAGAAGGTGAGACTGGGATGTCACTCCGGAGGCTGAGGGATGGAAAAGAGGCAGAAAGGGTGGAACGCATAGGAGAGAGGGGCAAGAGGTGTGATCAGGTGCACCATTCTGCACGGGCAGCCAGGTGCCAGGACCTGACCATGTGGGTGGGCAAGGCGTTCACTGGGTTGGATACACAGCAGGAAGAGCTGCCTTGGAGGGGCGAGGATGCATTCTTGGATGTTACTGTGCAATCAGTTCTGATGATAAGAAGAGTGAAGATCAGGAGTAGGAGACAAAAGGAATGACTGTCGCTCCCTGCCAACTCTGTGTTTTATACACAGTGTTTAATAGAATCCACGCACTGATCCAGAAAGCAGGTGCCTTCCATCCATTCTATAACAAAAGAAGCTGAAGATGAATATTTACTGAAGTTAGGTAATTGATGGTGGTAGGGCTGCCATTTTTTTTTAAGATTTATTTATTTATTTATCTATCTATCTATCTATCTATCTATCTATTTATTTATTTATTTATTTATTTATTTATTTATTTATTTATTTATTTATTTATTTATGCATACAGAGGTGCAGGTCAGAGGTGCAGGGGTGGTGAGAGGATTCACCACAACCAGATTGGGGAGCAGAACAGGTTGATGGACGAAGCACACTGCTGAGGGGAGCAGTGGGTGGGTCAGGAGAGGTCTGCCGTGCCATGTGGGTCAGCTCCAGGGGTAGGGATTGAACTCACACTGAAGTGGCTGCAGCTAGCTTGCAGTGCTGCATCCTAACCCACTGCACCACCAGGGAGGGCAAGGGCTGCCATTTTAATGGACATCTCTCTACCAATAGACAAGTTCTTACTACTTCAACTGGCTACCGAATAACCTAATGGGATGTACACTGTATGGAGTGTTTAAGGCTAAAAAAATCATAACCAGAAACCTATCTGGGGATAGGTGGATGGAAGAGGTGGGACCCAGATGAAGACCCAACTTCTAAGAAAGGGAGGCATTTCCTTAGCAGATGCCTCTAATCCCACACTCTACTCACCCTCTCTGTCATACTTCCTCCCTGAGTCTGAAGGTGGGAGGCAGGGAAATATCACTCAGTGGTGGGACAAACTTGCATTCCAAGCAGTGGGATTGATCCTCACAGCACCTGGCTTGCCCTGCAGAGTAGAGCTGAGCAAGGCGGCTTAGCTTAACATCTCTTAAGGGAAAATCAGTATTTTAGCTGATGGCATTATCTTAGCAGACAAAGGTTTAAGGCATAGTCTATTTAAAGAGTTATTTAACAATTTCCAAAATAGTAGCAACCCAGTCTCCATAAAGCTAAATGAGTCCCAGGGAAGAAAGCACATATTACATTCTCGCACTTGTTTCTCTAATTAGGAACAGGCCCCAGTGGCTGGGATTTATTTTCATGCGTACATATCCACAAAACCCAGAAACATCTTGACATGCTGCAGCATCCCTAACGCTTCTCAAGACTGAATCCTAATTAGGTTAAAAAAAAAAAAAGAACCAGGAATTTTCACGCTGGTTTTGATTTGGGATTCAAAACAGAACCTAAAATGTGCATTTTTATATTGTTCCAAAACATGTATAAGCTGGGTCAAAATTCTTAAGACCCCCTTCAGACATCACAAAGAACAGAAAAACAGAGCCAGGCATGATTCGGAATTTAACAGACCAAAGAAGTTTCTTCTTCTTACAGAACCTGAAGACTCTCCTGTGATCTTCCCACACTTTTAAACATCTTAGTCTACTTGCTTTTTTATAACAGGAGAAAGGGCCATGAGATGTTTGTATGGCACCTGCTTCTTCCTTTACAGGATTAAAAGATTCCTTTTCTGTGTTTTTCTTTGTTCATTTATTATAGAAATTGGCCAGTCCTTTCCTTCACTTTCTGTAAACTCTGTTATAAAAAGAATCTGCACAGGTCATGGAGTCTGTGGTGAAGAAACTTGTTCTTACCTGCGCAGTTTATCCTCCAGCACCGCCATGTATTTCATTGTTTTCTCCTTCACAACTGTTTCTGCAAAACAAAACCCCAATGTTGATGCAATTATAGGCAGAGATGGAGCAAAACCCAGAACTGCTCAACTTCAAGCCAAAACGAAAGAATTGAGGTCAAGCCACTAGACACGGTCACATCTGATGTTTGGAAAACACGTAAGTCCATTTGGAGTGGCTTCCCGGAGTGATGCGCTTGCAGGGCCTGGGGTGTCCTAGGTCTTCGCATAGTTGGGAATTTGGGGAGTGAAGATGTCACTGTACTTCCTCTGCTTTCAAAGGCAGCTCACTCGGTGTGGGCTATGGATCCCCCGTGCTCCGTGCCTCTCACCTTTCCCACTCAGTAGACAGGAGTGTGGCTGGAGAACAGAAAAGAACACCAGAGAGAGAAACAACTCCCATCCGGGGGAAGACCCTTGCCAGTGGTAACTCATCATAGAGAAAAACAGAAATTTCAACAATGAAAGGAACTGTCTAAGTTGATCTCTTCTCTTCGTCACTTATGCTCAGCTACATATTAAGTTGTGCGAACTTTATTCTCCAAATATTCTCACCGAATATTTATCTGTGTATTTCAGTCAGTCTGCCCACTCTGTCTCTGGTGAATCCTTTCATTCCCCACACCTCTGGCCTACACCCCGGATCTTGCATACATAAATAAATAATAAAGTAGATGTGGCCTAAGAGATATCTGTGCGGGAAGCCTCTCATGTTGATTACTTCCTGGGATACAGAGCAATATTTTCCCAAAACCTTCATCATAATCAATAATCCAAAAATATCCCGATTGGTCAGATGCAAGATAATGACCAAGTTATCCAGCAATATCCTTTTCAGCATGCACAAGAAAGCTAGGAGAATGTTAAGTGGAAGCAAGTGTAACTAGGTTTCACTGAATTAAGTCCTTTGTTTGCATAATAAAAGATAGCAGTATTTATCAGATTAACAGTACAGGAAATGAGTAAGACCCAGGTAAGACTCACTATCAGATTGAAGAGAACAGTGACTCCAGGAACTTCTGCCCCACCACCCTCAATAAGGAGGGCATTATCAGATCAGGTCATACTCACAACTTCGAAAATGGAAACCAAAGGGGAATCTAGTCAGTTTAGAATTAATCACAAATTTTATCTACCATTAGCTCTTTCATTGGAATTTTCTAAACTAACATACCTATCAAGTGAAGCCTGACCTTGTTTTACAAAAATAAACCATCAGATTTCAAAGACCCATTATTATTCAAGAATTGGTTCAGACAAGATTGAGACTACTCCCATTAGTAAAATCTTCCAGAAGTAAGATATGAAAGACAAAAGAGAAATTTTAGGTTTAAGAGGTTACTCTTCTTTTTCATGAAAGAACTTCTGCGTATTTGGGTATAAGTTGTAACACAATGCTAACAAAGGCCCAGAGAAATAAGCAATACAGGAAAATGAACCTGCACTTAGGTCATCTTGATAGGTGATGAGACCTTCTGTAATGTAAGCCTCAGCATAAAAACAAACATTGGATGATTACTTAACTGACTATTTACAATAGTAAAACACTTTCAAAAACAGTGGACATCAACCAACACCCCAAGGGCTCTGAGAGCAAGGAGGGGGAGGGGAAAAGGGAAAGGAACACACTGGAGGGTGGTGAAGAAGAAAAAAAAAAAAAAAACTTTGCAAGAAGACAAGTGAATTAAAATAAAAACAAAAGTGTTTTATTTTTTTTCTTTTAAGATGGTCTAGGGTTTGAAAACTGACAGAATCCTTTATCTCAAGTACTGTAGAAGTAACACTCTATACTGAAGGGCAAGATGGAAATACCAGCCTGAGCACCTGCCTCACCTGTACCAAAGTGACCTTGACTGTCATGTGCGAAACTCAGTACGTAGAAATGCATGGTACCAAACAATGGTATTGAGTTAGCTAGCATTTTATTGAGTACTTTCTATGTGTCGGGTACTGTCTTCAACACCTAGTACTATATGTTCACAAATACAATCTATGAAGCAAGATCTTTCATCACCCTTCTTTCATAGATGGTGAACAGAGGGACAGCAAAGATCAGTCACACAACTAGGACTGCACCCGAGCCGACAGTTTCAGAACACATGATTCAATTTTAAATACCATTTAAGAGGAGCTCAAGAAATGTGCATTAAGTAAATGCTTTTGGGATTTCTGCCACCAATAAACCAAGCAGGTGTTCAAAAGAAAGAGTAACTTCTGCAATGGTCAAAGACTGCACACAAAAAAAGACTGTACAAAAACATAAAAGTCAAAGTTACAAAAAGAGCTAGCAATGGCAAAAAAAAAAATGAAATAAAAATAAACCAACAAATGAAAACCTAATTGTATATAAACTCTAGGGAAGAATACTACTAACATATCAGCATAAAATAAATTTATCATTGTGGAACACATATATTAAAGGTTATGGATCAAAGTGATTTCAAAGTAAGTCATAATGAAAAAACATGACTTAAAATTTTCTAGGATTTATATTCACATTGATTCACTTTTCCCAAAGATAAAATATCAAAATCATGTGGGTTTTACAAATAGATTTTAATTTGCATCTATAGATTTGTTTTTCTACTACCACTTTGTGGGGTGATGATTTAGACAGAACTCTCTAGAGAGGGTTCCTGAGTTTTTTTTTTAATCCATCTCCTTTCTAAACTAGACTGATCAATGTAAATTCTCTAAAGTTGGAACCAACGAAATGTACCATCACTAAATTAGCAATGGGTTCACATCTCATTTGGGGCTGTCATTTAGCGCCATGTTCCATCTCTTTCCTTTCTTCTTATTTTTAGATTTACAGATAAAAAAGGTCAAAAAAAAAAAAAAGGTCCTAAAGAATGAATAAGCAGTAACAGAGAGCAGGTTCTTTTTTGAGGTTGTGACTGGCATTCTGACATCATCCATCTAATGTTTCTTAAATGTCCCCCACATGCACTGAGCTGCAGAGATGGACACAAGGCTGCCCTTAACTTGGAGAAAACCAGCTCTGGAGATAGAGAGAGTCACATAAACAGATGATTAATAAAAACAGTAAGTTCAGTTCACAGTAGAAACATAAAGCAATAGTCATTCTGGGAACACTGTGAAAGGAGAGTGAGGGGGTTAAAAAAAGGCTGTGCAGAGGAAGAGAGTGAAGTAGAGATCTTAAAGGATTTTCCATGCTGGCAGAAGCCAGAGGAAGCATGGATAATCCGAAACAGCAGCTTCCCATAAACTAAGATTTGTGTTTTAGAATATCAGGCATTTAATGTCATATCAGTTTGCTTTCCCAATAATTTCAGAATCATTTTTTCCCTAAGCTTATGTTAGGATTACCTGACATAATGCCTGGTCCCACACCAAAGGAAGGCTGTATGACTACAAGAAACAGATCTATCCAAAAGCATCAGCCTGAACACCCACCTCTATCACAGTCTCCCTGAGAGGTGAATGCAGAGATGTGCTGGTTCATCCAGATTTCTCCTCGGGGGATGTGAGAATGTTGTGTTAGAGCAACTTCACATTGGCAGCCAAAGGCAGATGGGGGAAAGCTTTTCCAGAACTAAAGTAGCATCAGGATTCAGTTGTCCAGAGGAAAGTAAAGGGAATTACAGTTGACCCTCGAACAACAGACTTGACCTGTGCCAGTACACTTACGTGTAAAGTTTTTTCAATAATTACAGTTGAGACTCCATGCCCGTGGGTTTGGCACCCACAGATTTAACCAACTGTAGTTGCCAGTGGCTGAGATGCAGATACAGAAAGCAGACTACAAGGGACTAAAGTATCTGCTGGGTTTTGGTTATTTGTGGGGGTAGAGGGAAGGGTTGGGGAGAAATAGGGGGTCCTGGAATCAATATCCGAGGGATACCCAGCACTGTAGTGGGGGGGAGGGGCGTCAGCAAACCAACCCCCACATTGTTCAAGGCTCCCCTGTTTCCCGCTTACATCTACACCCCTGCAGTTTTGCCCCCTGTGCTGAGATGTGGCTGCAGTTCCCACAAGAGAAGCTGAGGGCTACGGCAGGGAGCGCTGCCCTGTGCCCTGTTCACCTCAAGGGCCGGCCAGTCCTGATAATCTCTGCACCAGGAGCCTCCCCTGCTTTGATGGGATGAGATAGTGGGCAGGTGGAATGAAGGAGAAATGTGTAGGTAATTTCCACCAGGTTTAAAAACGTTTAATATTTAGTGAGTAGGTAAGCTCCCTAAAAGATTAAGCCCAAGTTCCAATTTCACCTGCTGTGCTGTCACCAGTTAATTGGGTGTCATCGGATATAGCAATTCTCACTTTCCCAATTCAGACCTGCCCCTACATGCCCTCTCCCCATGCCCTTGAAGCTCACAGCCTAATAAATCAGTACTACTCAACGACAACAAGAAAAACCAAGCGTGCATGGTATGAAAGCAGGTCAGAACAAAAGCCAAAACTCACTCTGAACAGCTTCGTTCTGCAGCCTCCACTCGCACAGCTTTGCCAACCAAATGCTTTTACTACAGGCAGAGACAGGCTAACTCTCCCCGCTGACAGCAGCAGGCATGGGGCGGCTTCCTAGCACATATAATTGAAAGAATTGTGACCTGGAGGTTCATTTACATATTTTAAGATTTGCTTAAAAGTTTATCAGTTGCCTTGCCTAGTAGTGTCCACTTGGGAATGGATACTCGCTTTCAAGCTTTCTCCTTATTACAGCCACACACATTAGCATTACCACTTGCATACATGCATCCTACACATGCACACAACAGACACACACACCCATGATGGACTTCTCTTCATTCATTTTTGATAGATCAAGGAACAGAACTTGGGACTTTGTTTTTAAAGTGGAATACTGTTTTCTCAAACAATTTGTGTTCAACAAAATGCCAAATCCACACTCGATCTTCTTAAGCTGGGGAAAGGAAGCTCACACATAGGATCCTGGCTCGACGATTTCCAATGTGTGCATTATCTCATTTAATTCCTTCAGTAACTCTAAATCTTTTCAAGGTAAGGTAACCATGCTTGAAAGAAGCTAACTCAAGAAGCA